GCATAGGTGGATGATTTGTGGAACCTCCTTCATTAAAGAAACTCATTATGATGACAAGACAAATGATTAATCAGCAAGGACAAAATCAGATCATATCATATTAAAGGCAAGGAAGAGTTGATCAATAGAATGCAAGAACATGATTAGTAGTCAAAACAACCAAGGAGCATGTAACACCTGCTCTCTACTACTATTCATATAATACATACTATGCAAACTATAGATATACATAGCGTATGGAAGATAGTGGGCTCAAACTTTTCTTTACTCATAAAATATAATTCTTTACAAATACAATATACTATGTATTAAAAACTTTCTACTTAATACAAAATATCATAGTTGGTGGACAGTAGTGCCAATACTCTCCGCTCCTTGACGTTCATCCAACCGCTGCTCCTAATTCCTACAAAACAAGGAAGAACAGTGGGGTGAGCACAACAATGCTCAGTAAGTAAATCCTCTACTACCTGTCCCCGCAACTCACTCTTTGGTTCTTTCCTTACTCTACCGTTCTTCTATTTTTAATTCTCACTGTTTTACTCTTTCTTGCTAATACTTTTATTCTCCTTTAACTCTGTTTTGCTCTTTTTATTCTTTCTTTCTCTCTATTCTCATTCTCTTTTCTTCTTCTCTTATTCTTACTCACCATGAAGGAAAATCATGGTTCTCTTTTATTCTCGCCATACTCACCATGAAGGAAAATCATGGTTCGCTCTCTTATTCTCGTCACACTCTCACTAACCATGAAAGAAATCATGGTGTATGTATGTATGAGATGTATGCAATTAATGCAAAAGAACTGCATGTTTCTTTCTTCTACTCTCTATCTTTACTAGCTCAAAACCTCTCATTCCATCTCATTCTTTCTCAAGCTTTCTCATCCTTTAATTCTCTCTATTATCTCTTTCTCATTTCTCATAATTCATTTCTACTAACTCGCTCTTTGAATGTCATGGCCCCATCTTACTGGAGGCACGGCCGGGACTTCTCCCGCTCTACATGACTTCTACTGATTCTCTTTTTGTCTCTCTTTCTCATAACTCTTTTCTGTTAACTTTCTATTGTAGGTCACGGCCTCATCTTACCGGAGGCGCGGCTGGGTACTCATCCCACTCTTCGTAATCCTACTCATTGTCTCTCTTTACTCTTTCTCATGTTTGCTCATTCTTCCTCACTTGCATGTCACAACCTCATCTTACCGGAGGCACGGCTGGGTGGAGATCACAAAGCACCAACCCACACTTTGTGACTTCTACTCATTCTTTGCCGATCGGACTCAGTCATGCATGGATTCGGAACCCTTGGCCACGTGAGTGTATTCTCTCTCTCTCTGAATGTCACAGCCCCATCTAACCGGAGGCATGGCTGGAACCCCATGTTCCACTCTTCGTGACGATCACGGCCCCATCTAACCGGAGGCACGGCTAGGGATCACAAAGCGCCCACTCTCGTGACTTTACTCATCACTCACGGGTTCCCCATCGCACAACCTACTCTATTCTCTTCTGTAGCACTTTTCTCTCTTTTATTCGCTAGTGCTCAATCTCTCTTTCTCTTTACTATTAGAGTGTTTTCATTCTCTTTACTCTTAGAGTTGTTATTCTCAACATTCTCTACTCTTTCTCACTCAAACTATTACTCATACTCAAAATTCTCTACTCTTGCTCAAGCTAATACTCATCTCTTCCTCAAGCTAGTACTCATAGTATGGCATAACTCTTAGGGTAGTCTATTCACAAAGTTCTCTACTCTTTCTTAAGCTATACTATTAGAGTATTCTATTCACAAAATTCTCTACTCTATCTCAAGCTATTATTCATAATGTAGCTCCTACTCAACATTCTCTACTCTTTCTCAAGCTACCTCTCAAATGCACAATTAATGCATATGGATGGTTCATGCTCATTAATACACTTATGAAATGTCAAATGGCATATTGCATCAAAACAGTCATTCTGCGCAGGTCACACTCAAGAAGCCATAACTTGAGTTATACACCTCGGATTGCTACGGCTTTGGTCTCGTTTTAAAGCTTAGAGACAGGGCTACAACTTTGATGTTTTGGTCTAAGCCCAGTTCAATCCGTAGAATTCCCAAAAATCACTTAGAAGGTTACGGCTGTGACAGGGCAGTTTGGTAACATGTTTTCACTTAGGCATTTCCTCAAACAACTCATGTGCATACCAAAGCTCTACTTATCTATAACTCTACTCTTCTCTTTAACCATCCAAAATGGGAGGAAAACTTCCTCATATAGTCATAATTCCTGCCAAGGAAAACACTCCCAAAAATATTCATACAAAACTCCTCCAACTTCAACTCAATTTCAATCTCTCTTCACACATCAAACACTTCTCATAATTAAAGTATATCCAACAACACTAGAATAAATTCTCATCTCAACTCAATTTCTCAGCAAGCATANAAAAAAATTGTAAACTAAATTTCAGACTTAATTTGTTAGTGATGCGGAATGTGATGAACTCCCTACCATATAGACCACACATTCTGCTGAGGCTATTGCACTCGTCTCATCAGACAGTGAATCTACTCTCGTACCATTTGTCATTAATATTTGAGGGTGTGTTTAGTTTATTATTTTGGATAGGATTTTGAGGATAGTATTAGATAATTGAATATGGGAGTATTACGAGATAAAATTTAAAAATTTATAAAAAAACCTCTTAAGTTTACTAATTTAATAAATACCCCAACATGTAAAATAACAAAAATACCCCTACTACTAGCAGTGCCAGATTCCGATCATCACCACCGGAATCTGACCGAAAAATCACGTTACGACACAGACCGATCCCACTACTAGCAGTGCCAGATTCCGATCACCATCACCGGAATCTGACCGAAAAATCACGTTACGACACAGACCGATCAGATCTGTGTCGTAACACGTCGTTATGGTCTTTTCCAGCCAGATCCACTACAGATCTGACCGGAAAAGGTCAGATCTAAGGCCTGCCATGGCCGTCGACGATCGAAAAAGGCCGTTTTCGGTCAACGATAGCCAAGATTTGGCCGTCATTGACCTCAACGATGACCATTTCTTTGGCCGTCGTTCATGGCTAGATCCGTGAAATTCCGGCCATTTATGGTCTTCAAGTAGGCCGTTGTATAGATTTCGGCTACCACCGACGATGATTGCTAGAATCTGGCAAGTATTGGTCGTGGGGGTGTCTTTGATAGTTTTTAAACTTTTTTTCATGGTGTATTTGATAAAATTAATAACTTTATGGGGTCTAAAAATAATTAAAAAATAGGCTAATATTTCTAGAATAATGTACCAAACATTGTTTAGAGAATAGGATTTGGCATAGGGATAAAAATAATAAGCCAATCATGGCCTAAATCTTTCTCTTGCTTTACGTTAATGTGAAATTTCTTCCCTCCAAATATGAGAATTGAATATTCTGCAAATTATTCTGGATACGAGTACACTGAATTAAACGCCAGTCCCATCAAAAAGCCTGTTTCCACAGTGAGCTGGACGCATTAGCAACTGTAACATGTAAATTCCCACTCAGCAACTGTAACCTAAAAATAATTTCATTTACGCCAACGGATACGTAGTAAAAACTCTGCTTAAATATACAAGCCAACACACTGATTTTTATTCCTGTACTTACTATTTACTTCTTTTCCTACTTTGCATGGGAGTAATTAAATACAAAAACTAGCTTAATTAATTAAAAGATCAACCACCCTTTTCTCCCTTCATTTTAATGTACTTGAAAAGAGTAGGTAACAAATAATAATTATAATAACAATCACTGCGTGTAAAGGTCAAAACTTGCTGCAGTATAACATTAAAGAATGCCTGCTGTTCTTAGCTATCAACATTAAATCCAGTAGCCACATCTTTTTGAAGAAAGAAAATCATCATTCAAACTCATTTATTGGCCGTGTAATTTCTGATCCAAGAGACCTAATATTTTATTTATATATTCATCAAAATCTATCTGCTTTCCTTGAGAAGTTTGCATGAATAATATTCACTTTATATTCATTCCTAAACTGGGTATAATTATTGCATACAACAGCTATGGCAACATTCATTCTCTCTTGTAAATGTTTTTATTAATTATTTCAGTATCTATTTTTTATTTTATTTTTTTCCTTATGTTAGAAAAACAGCTAAAAGACTCAGAAACCTTGTTAAAATTTGTTTTTTAACAGTTATTTTGAAATTGACAAAATTTTATCCCAATCTCATATTTTTTTTATTTAGAGAGATAAAAATGAAAGTTTAAAATATTTGATGAATAACACTAGATTTTCTTTTTAATTTTGTTGAAAAATAGGGCTAATTGATGGGAAATGCACCGGAGTTTTGGTGGTAGCTGGATATTAATTGATGAATTTAATTGTAGTACGGATTTAATTATTGAAATAAGGTGTGAACAAGATATGGTCTTACAACCTTCAGCTTTGCTTCCGCAATTTCTTACTCTCTTGTTCTACTCTTGATAAATAAAATTATAATAAAAAAATATAATTGATTTTTATCTTTTATACATGTTAAAAAAATAATAATAAGGAAAATATTGCTAACATTGCATGGTAAAAGCATAATAAATTAAGTGAATCATTACAAAATTATGAAAGATAGTAAGTTACCAAATAAAAAACGTTGAAAGCGAAATACTATAATTACAATATGATAATAAACTCGATCATCCACAACCTTGTTCAATCAAATATTGTCGTCACTGACAAACTAATTTTTCAAATGACTAAACTCAAACAGCAAAGTATTACAAATTTTTTACCAAACAACAATAAAGACTTAATTTCTGGCTCGACCCACTATTCAATTCCGTCTTCAGAGATGTCGTACAAACATTTAATATGAGCCCTAGCTAGAAACTTCAGAATAATGTTTAATTAATACCAAACTAATAAATTCTCTAAAATCAAATAAGAAAAAAAAAAAAAAAAACTGTAATTAAACCGTGAACATGTTCATGTGCCAGTCATCTTCACTGCTTAATTTCTACTAGCATAAAAATATTAATTATCATAAATGAAGAACACAGAAGAAATTAGTTAAAAATCCCCTCCAGATACTCTTCATGGATCGATCATCGCTTATACATCCTTCTTGGCGTTATAATTTTTTGAGTGAAAATCAATGAATAAAACCAAAAGAGTGCTAATGAAAGCCATACTGAAGCAATAACCCCAGATGCCGGAGCAACCTGATCCGGTGAAATGGAAGAAGAATACGATGAGCATGTTTATAAAGCTCGACATAAACTGCAAAATCTGGATGTCAGTGACTAATCTTTTCCACTTTGGACGTTTTCCAATCGCGCATAGTAAATAATAGTAGTACATGAACACATGCACCACACAATTCGTAACGAGTACCACCGGAAAGGAAGATTGCGATGTATGCAACCCAATGTAACACATTATCAAAACCGTAGCATGGTGGTAGACGTGAAGAAACGAGAGGCGTTTCATCGATTTACTCACGACGATCAGAAACGTATCGACGTATTCATAAATCTTCGAGAGGTAGAAAACGTAGGCCCAGAAGAAGAGAGGGCCTTTTGGCTCGACATTTTTCGGATAACATAACACGTAGTGTATGTTCGGGGCATGGAAGAATATGGAGAGGAGGCAACCAATGGCCATGATTAGCGAGAGGTTGATGAGGATGAGGTTATGGACGACGGTGATTCGTCGGAGGAGGGGACGTGCAATGGAGATGGGGTGGTTTTGGGAGAGGAAAAGGGTGATGGAGAGATAAGAGACAACAGTGAGGGTGAGAAATTGTGGGGATGATGCTGGAGTTTGGCCTTCAATCCATGAAAAATGAAGGATTTTTGGGTCGTTGACAAACCAATCTAGGAGAATTGAGAACATTGGGGTTGATGCCGTTTGGTTCATTGGAGAGAAAATTGGAGAGTGAGTGAAGTGAGGGTGAATGTTGTGGGAAAGGGTAGGGTTTTTTAAGCTTTCAAAGAGAGTTTTAATGGATAGGTGAACATCATCATCATGGATTTATGTTTGTGTTTTCTATTTATTTCCTTGAACTATCCTAACTAAAATTCCTACAACCATAACTGTAAGTAAATAAACAGTATTATTGCTACTCAGATTATATTGAAAAGAGAGAATTTCTTATTGTTCCTTCTTTTTGTAATTTTTCAATTAAATTTACTATAGACAAATAATTCATATATTAACTACTTGTTCTTCACAATCTTAGCTCATTACAAGAAATTTGTCGTATTACACCCATCATCATCTTATCTAATAAAATGTTGAGTCATCATGTACTAGTTTAAGCTTTAGGAGAGTTGGTAACTAAACATTATTCTCACTTCAACAAATACAACAATTTTGAATAACTTATACAACACATTGATTTGTTGTACAAAGGTGATTCATGTCCTCTTGGTTTGCCAATATCACGACGTCAAAAAGCGTCATAATGAGACACTCATATCCCGACGCTATAAAGGCATCGTGTTACAAGAAAGATACCTTAATGCTGCCGTTTCAGGGCATGATGAAAAGTGTTGTGCTGATTTTTCTATTAAACTTAGAAAAGTCAAAAGCTAGTGAAGATATAGTTCAACCCATAATCACTTTGACTCAGCATTGGTCTGGCCGGTATAAGCTCGTTACTAGTGATAGCTCAATCCAACACAAGTTAGCTGTGACCAACGCTTGTAGTTTTTCGATAAACTAAGGATAAACTCAAATATCAGATATTTCAGAAGGGATGAGATTAACGTTGATGGTAGCGCAATCTTAGCATCCAATCATGAAAATATCAGAGTTACAATTTAAATTTGCAATCCTGATATTCTGTCTCTTTCCTTTATCTCAAACTTGTATATAAACCTCCTCCAATTATGAAAGAGAAGTTAGCAAATTATTCAAGGCATATTATATTGTTCTTGTAATTACTCAAAAACAATAAGATAACAGTGGACGTAGACTTAAGTTCTAATTTGTTGAACCACTTTAAAAGTCTTTTGTGTCTTTTGCATTATCACACATATTTACATTCAATTGCTGGTTTATCATTAAACCACACATACGTCAGTTCTGATTCCATCTAAGTCAATCAGTTCTCTCAAATTGGTGCAAATTCGTATCAACAAAAAGCGCGTATTGAAGCGAATTTAAAAATTAAGTCAAAATCCTATTGAGCTTGCAATCTCTCTCTCTCTCCTTGGACATCTTTCCGTTAGCTCACACTTATTAATGAGAGAAACCAAGCTTCTTAATTTCTTCGATCTTCTACTGACCTGTACCTCTCCGTTCACTGAAATTTTCCTGTTCACCACTTCTACTTATTTATAGGCAGCGGCGAGAGTGGGTGAAATAATTTATTCCTTTCGACGAAATTGATTACATACTTGGAGAGGAAAGAAAATTATTAAAACTCTACTCAAAACACCTAATTTAATTAAAATCAAGTGACAAAAAGACCCTTTTATATAATTAATTAGTTCAGGACGACTAACTAAATCCGCAAACATTAATGTTTAAGACTTAATCAAATCCCCAAAAATATTCAATTTCGAAATTCTATTTATAGAAATCAGCTGCATTCTTAGTTGATGTATAAATTGAAGCTCTTGAGGAATAGGTCAAATAGGGGGCTAGCGTCATAAAGAAATAATGGATATGAAAGGGTTGTTGATTAATAGTAAATTCTTAATGTTTGTGGCATCCCATAGGACATTGAATTGACTTCACATTGAATTATAGAGCCCGAGGCGCTGTTGGACATTAATTAATATTATGTTTCGAGACAACTATAATAAGCTTTGTTTTCTTAATTATTTTATTTTTTTTTATTGTGAAATTGTTTAATATTAAACTCATATACTTTGGTTAAGGAAATATTAAAAACATTCCTATGATTATCAAAAACCCTCTACCAAAAAGGGATGAGCTATTTTGACTTAAAATTAGACTTCAACATGTGACCCTCTATTTCAATCCATCAACGGCTAGGATAACTGTTAAGATGACATTAAAACTTAACTTAAAATCTTAATGGAATTAAAATGTTAATAATTAAAACACATGACTCTTGAATTTCTCTTCTCAAACAGTGAAACTCCATTACAGTTCCAATCAAAGATACATCTTCAGCTTTATCAATCTTAATCAAAACCATAGGTTTGTCTTCATCAATTCAAATCTCTTCCCCCATTGATTACCGTAATAAGAGTGTTTTTAATTCTTTCAAAATGAAGTGGATAAGTTCAATAATAGGCTATCTCTTTAATTAATTAATTAATTTGACTTCACAATTATTGAATTCGAGCTAATTCTTCGGTTAGTGTCTTTTTCCCACACTTTATTAGAATTGAGGACATCAACGTCCTTTCATTATCACGACAACATTAAAAAGTTATTTGATGAATTTAAGAAAATACGATTTCACATAATTAGTAAAATACATATGTTGAAAGATTATTTTTCTTGAATTGAAATCCAAATGATAATTAACTTAATGCCAACCTTCTATTTTTGGTTTCAAAGACAAAATCGAAGAATCTGATTCATCTTTTCATCTGTACTGTACACAGATTATGTCATTACCATCAAGTCCTTAATTCAACATGAATAGAGTTTATTTCATATTTCTCATGAGATATCTGAAAAAAAAAAAAAAAAAAATCTCCATGGCTAATATTTCCGTTAGAGCTTTACTGTTTAATTCAATCAATCAAGTGTCGAGTATGTAAATGAAATTATAATATAGAAATGCTAACGGAACAGTATCCACAATGGTAATTGTTATTTAATGTGATACCAGAAAACTTAATCTAAAAAAGGAGAATGTATAATTAAAAACGAATAAATAAAATTTATCCCCTCAGATACTAAAATAATAATAATGTAATCTGTTTGGGTTTTACTGATTAATTCAATTGGATTAATGTAAAATGTTTAAAAATCTTAACAAAACAGGGACGACATGAGATAAATATTTATTGTTCTAAAAGAGGAGAATGGGCGTTGAAGGGTTGATTAAGAAAAAAGGATAAAAATTGATGCAAGGATGGACAGGTGCCGTTTGCCCATCGTTAATAAAGAGGACAAGTCTTGTTGAAATTAATTGTGGGATCGTTGTCTACAGTTATTGCCCAACGATCTGCATAAATATGTTTTGTCTGGTTACTTGTTTCATACATGACTACGTGTTATGTATTATTACTTGTCTTTGCCAATCAAATAATTCATTTATCTATTTCCAACTGTATTCACTTCAACTTTTATTATCATAAATATCCACTCACTGTCATTTTTTTTTTCATTTTTAATTTTCTCTCTTAATTTTATGTAACAGCGAGGTCATATGGGTTTCCATATTCTCTCACTTGATCCAGAGATTCAGGAAAAGAAATTGATTTGATTATTGAAATTGACAATGAAATATCATTAGATTTCTGATCATCTACATTGTTTTGAAACTCGAAACGGACTGGCCGAACGGTCGAATCGACCGAACATACAATTAGGTTTCTAATCATCAACAATTTTTTAAAAACCTGGATCGGACTGGTCGAATAACTAGACCGACCGATTCAACTGGTCCAACCGGGAACCTGATCGACCGATTCAACTGATCTGATCGAAACCCTTATCCTATCCGAATACATCCTAAACCTGATTCTAGCAGTTGGACCAGGTTGACCCGGGGTTGAACCGGAGGAACAATTCTGAATTTTCGGTTCAACCATCAGATCAGAGAATCAGTGGGTAAATCGAAATTCTAATTCCTAAAATTAAAATCCCTAAATTCTATTCTTCAATTTCAATCTCCAGTTCTTCATCTTCACTCCTTCCAATATTCTAATCTTCGATCTAGATTATAGTCTGCTCCGCCTCCGCGTCGCCGGCCGTCCACGCTTCAATTCACTCTGCCTCTCTCCTCCACTAGTCCGATTTGAACTCTGCACCACTGTCGGCAACCGAATTGGTGAACCCAACAAACCAATTCTCACAAACCAGCAACCACCCTGCAAACCCAACAACCTCCTCCACCACCTCAAACCTGCCACCACCCGCAAACCTAACAATCAAAGACCATTGAAAATTGGTTGCCACTAGCAAAGCAACCAACTTAGCACCAACACTGACTTTAATCATCTTCTTTGAAGAGTCCACCCATGGTTAGTGAGGATGCAAAAAGGATATAAAGAGGGTTTTGTTAGGTTATGAGTCAGCCATGAGAGAATTGGAAGAATTTTGGAAGTTGAGTTTTGTGGGGGAAACATTAAAGAAGGTATGATGCGATTGGTATGTAGGGTTGTGATTTCGGGTGGACGGTAGCTCGACGAGGTGAGGCTGGAGAGGAAAGAAGGTTGCCACCACCATGTGAACCACCGCCATTGTGATAGATCTGAGAAAAAAATAGTGGAGAAAAAGGNCACAATCGATATAAATAAAATGTCATCAACAAAAATAAACCAAAACCACTATAGTCGCTTAAGCGATCTCGGATCGCTTAAGAGATCTTTACTCTGCCTCATGAAAGATCGCTTAAGCGATTTTAAATCGCTTAAGCGAACAAGAGTTCACTGAGAATCTCTTAAGCGATACAACAGATCGCTTATTATATCTGTGATTCTGCCAGACCTAAGATCGCTTAAGCGACCAAGAGTAAACACTCATGATCGTTTAAGCGATCTTAGGTCTGGGCAGAATCATCTGCCCAGATCTCAGATCGCTTAAGCGATCCTTTTTATCGCTTAAGCGATCATGGCTGCGATCACGAGTAAAATAGAATAATCGCTTAAGCGATACAAATGATCGCTTAAGCGATACAAATGATCGCTTAAGCGAAATTACAAGCAACATTCCCAAACTACATACCCTATCTTCGCCGGCCTTCTCCTCATCTCCTGGATCCTCTGGCGACTCCTGCTGGCC